GTACGTGGGGGATGACCTTCGTACCATGTTCATGCCTAGTCGCCTCGCTCTTGTTGGAACACATGTATCTAAATTCAACTACTGCTTTTCTACACCCGGTGAGAAGTCTCGCGACACTACATCATACTTGACATAAATTTATTTCTATCGCCTTAGTTCAGAATTTGTAAAGAGTTGCGTGCTTACCACTGCTTTTGCTAATAAAAATTATAGTGCGCTTGCTAGTTTATTTAACAATTGTTATCTACGAATTATCAGCCAAACGACCGATCGAAGCATTAGGATAACTGTTGATTGTCATTGTTTTTCGTCCATAATTTACGTCAAGATAGTGGCGTCCCGAGACTCCCCACCGAGTAGAAGAAGGCAGTAATTAAAGTTAGGTACATTTAATCCAAAGAGGATAAAGCGACTAACCCTGAGCGTGGCCCAAAGTCCAGCCCACGACTACAAGGGTCAAACAAATCTCAAGGTGACTGCCATACGTCAGGCAGCCACATAAATAAGGCATTGCACTGCCCCTCTCTTCTTTTGAGCGATATCCTCTGTGCTCCACTTGATACACCTTCCGTGTCAGCCATGACACCATATTCGGTACTACATGAAAGCACCCACGAGTCATCCGCACCAGTCGACAGACAGCATGAGACTGAGGAACCGTACCTTGTCTCCTTGGCAGCTTCAACTGCATCTGGAGTTACGTTCAGCCTGACAACCATATTCTGGACCGCATACACCTGTTGACCATCAATTGCCTCCAGAAACAGACGGCGAAAATCTGGACTACAACAGATGTGTAATAGGAGAAACGGGGTCAGATGCTGTTCCGTAAATAAGGAGAATCGTAGTGTCATTTCCGACACATAAACACGGATTTTGTGTGGGAAATTTCGACACGACACTTTTGCAGAAGGTTCACGGTGGTGTCGCCTCAGTTGTTATTAGCTTGTCTGTGGAACACGGGAAGGATTCGAGAATTCCCTGTCACCAAGATAAATGATCCTTCTTTAATTTACATCTTCTTTTTACCTGTGTCTTCATTTATAGCAATTCTATGAAACCAGACTTCCTTCTACCCATGCATAGCTCAAGAGTGCGATGCACAACGCCGAAATGCGCTTATTAATCTTGGATTTCTTCACTATATTGTAGAATTCCTTTGCAGTCTTGTCTGCTGGTTGGATGATAAACTTCTTGTCGTGAACAGAGAGGTTTCGAATTTCCGGACAAGGGAACGCGATATTGGGCTCCAACAGACTATCAGACACATAAATACTCAAACCCAGAGCATCAACAAACAGAACAAGCGACACACATCTCCAGATCCTGTGCCTTTTGTAGGTACTGAAGCATAGCACCATTCGATCGAATCATTGCTAGTCGGCTTGTTCTTACTGTTTATTCCGGGAACCAATTTATTAATTGGCAAAGAGTAGCAGTAAAAACGTAGGATGCCAGTAAGGGAGGGCATCTATGAAAAGAGGAGGGACAGTGTACCATCATATGTCTGGAGTTTGCTTAAAGCTTTGTTTGTCCGACGTACGCGAGTGCAGGTCTTCAGGGCCCCTCAGACCTAATGTCTTTTTTCTCCTTAGGATAAAGGTAATCAGCTGCGCCTTGTATTGTTTATTTAATTAAGAGAAGATCTTATAAAGGCGCCTTGACTAAATCTGTGTTTTGCCCATAATATTTTTGTATTTTACTAAGGTTAAAACATAATTCTGTTTAAATATAAATCTTACGCTAATTTAGAAAGAAACATTTTTTAAAGGCCGAAGCAATAATAGGTTTGCTTATCTGTAGACAGGTTTGTCAAATTGTTCGATGAACAAGCGTTTTAATGAATAGCGTTTTCATTAGCGATTTTTTGATGATGGGGGAATACGAGGATTTTAGATCAAGAAAGGCATTTGTTGGCACTTACCGTGACTCCTTTGAGTACAAGTGGGCAAATTTTTGCATTTTATTTCCTTAGCCAATTAACCAATGATTCCTATGAAAGTTCGTCAGTTTCTACGCTTTTATTTAATGATATGCCAGCATCTGTATCGGAGCGCGATGTAGCCATGTTTTACAATTAATACTGTAGTTGAGGTATGCGCTTGAGGATGAGAAAGTTAGATTTATTGATTTACGATTCATGAGGGACAAATCAAGGTGTTTTGCCTTTGTCGACTTTACTCCGGATGAAGCTGGCAACTTAATTCGAAACTGTCGGGTCTGAGTCCATTTCTTTCTTAGTTTTTTTTCCATTAGAACGAGATTAAAGTTCGGGGCTTTAAAGTGCTTTTTGATTATGCTGACCCTAAGGACGAGGCTTTGAGATTTGAGCGAGGTCATGTTGGTGATTCACGGTTTTCGGGTAACGTTGAGGAGCCAACTTCCAACATTATGGTTCGTGGAATACCTTCAGATATTGATGAGCGAGATGTAAGGATGCTTGAGTTGCGTTTAATTGAGAAATTTATAGATAATTGAGGAACTCAGTCGGAACAATGTTCGCTACGCTGATGTTCGTGTCATTCGCGATCGTCTAACAGGTTGGTCGTTAATGTAGATGCTGTATATCCTTCCAAATTCGTCAGTGCATTGCAAATATCTGTTCTTCTATGGTCGGTGGTCAGTGCTTCGCATCTAATTCGGTCGACGGATTGCGGGTTTTGAAGGGGCTAGTATGTGGTGTCGA